ACTTTTCTTTTGTAGTTTGTGGATAAAACCAAAATTACTCGCCTTGTAAAAATATGAGACAGCACCCTCGGTCCTGCAGTAGTGGTTTATCTCTCTCACCAGCAGGAGGCGCTCCAAAAAAAAAAGAAACACAGAGAGAAAAAAAAAACAGGTTAATACAAGTCCAGATGTTTTTCACAGGCTACAGCAGAGAAACCAACCCCCCTCTGTCATAAATCACTTCTGACAAGACAAAGAAAAGCTCTCAGCCAGAAAAAAAACTCTCAAACCCCCACCAGTTGAATGCAGCTCAACTGGCAAGTCAATACACTAATAAAAACAGAAAAACAACAAAAAACTACACATTTAACATAAAACACACTTTTAGAACAGACAAACACACACAGTCCTGGACTCCTTGCTTGAACAGAGCTTTAAAAAAATAACAAAAAATACCTGACATGTCTCCCTTTAAACTATATGAGACAACCTTCATCACCTAGCATCTTAGCTAACTCCCCGACCTTTTTCCATCGGATTTAAACAGTGCTCAGGCCTCAAAGTCACTGTGACCGTGTACTCCTATCCGGGTGAACTAACAAAGATGACAAAGCTGAACAGCTTCTCTCAACCTGCTACCTAACCGCAGCTAACAGGATGACAAAAGACGTCTCCTTGCCGATCCTTCAATTTAACCACGGTGGTGCGGTTAACACACTTTACCAGAGATGCGCATCTCAACACTTTAACTTCATAGTACGTACTTTTACACATAACCACAAGAGAACACACACTTTTTTCTCTGTGGCGGGCAACACTGTCAAAAAAAATAACTAATACAACAGCTTAGCTTAGCAAGGTCGGACACACTAAGAACAATACAAAATAAAGCCAGACTCCAGTGGTAAAACTTCACAGGAAGTGAGAGGTAGAGAAAAAGATGTAAACCAGATGTCTTGCAACACAGCTACCCCCACAGCTATAAATCAGTTTGGACAAGACAAAGAACTGACTTGAACCACACCCCACTTTTAAAACTTTGAACGGCCAGCGTTCAAATTTCCACTAAATCAAGCTTTTAAACACAGACAAACAACCAACACAACAACAACAGACGACAAACATAAAAATTTAAGAAAAAATAAACTAGATTCTTTTTCTCTATTTTTTTCCTTTCTCTATGTTTTTTCTCCTTCAAAAACTAGCCAAACACATTTAAACTTCTATTTCAATACTGAGAGACGTTTTTATTCTCACTTTAAACTGCTTTTTACTCTGTAGAGGCACATCTAATCCTCAAATTTAATATTCTCTACACAAATGTGGCATTTTTCGCCCTCTATATCTAAGCTGTACTTCACCACAGCATAAAAACACTGTTTATCTCTCGTAAAAATTGAATCTGACGGAATTACATGCTTTTACCGATCCCGGAGCAGAAAACATCACTGCTTGACTATGTAAAACATAAAAGGAACAGTTTTATCGTACTTTAAGCTGGTTTACAACACCTCGTGTCATGACAAAGCACTTTTTCGCGCTAACAACATGTGCGACCACACCCAGCCCCCTTCTCTGCAGCTGCACTCTTTGTTCTCCTAGGAGCTACTTAATTCGACGAAAAACGCTATTTTTAAACCTCAATAAAAACACAAATACACAAAAACAGAAACAGAAACGCTAGCATGACAAAGAAATTTGATTCTAGACACGAAAAAGACTCAGAAATTATCTGAAACACTTCACGTATATTCAGCCTCCCCCGTTCAGGTTCACAGCTGCATTTTTACAAAAAGTAAATGCAAAAACAGACCTAAATTCGTGACGCCATTTTTTGTAGTGTCCCTTTCTGGTCTCTGGTTCCGTTTCGGCTCGGTTCGGCTGGGCTT